GGAATCACAGCGGGTAATATTTGGTTTTAATTCGGTTTTTATCGGGGTTTATTTTTGTATTTTTTGTATTTCTGTATTTTATTTTTTGTATTTTGTATTTTGTGTATATTATTTGTTTTTAATATGCTGTGAACCGCCCTGAGTCCTACGGGAGTAGGGCGGTATACAAATTAAATTATCAATCAATCAATCAATCAAGCTTGGAAATCTCTCCCTTTCCCCTCAGCATGGCTGGCTCAGGAATTCTGGGAATTGAAGTCCACGAGTCATAAAAGAGCCAAGGTTGCCTACCCCTGTCTTAGACTGTACAGCTTTAGATTGCGTACCATTTCATCATAGAGCTTTTGAATAAAAAAAATGTCCACTATTTTGTGAAAAAAAATAGTAAACATAATGTGAAAAAAGCGGACTGTCCGCTCAAATAGTGGACACCTGGCAACTCTAAGCTGCAAGGTACGTGCAGAGGTGCGCGGGGGCGGGGGGGGGTAGACAGAAGGGGGCCTGTTTTGGAAAATTAGAGAAGGAGCATCACCCGAGTGGCCTGAAATTATCCGCATTTGAGTGCTGGCGAAGGAGGGCTTCCGATAAAGGGGGCAAATTGTCCCCCCCCCCCGAAACTAAAGAATATCTCAAGTCCAGTTTTTTGGTTTTTTTTTTAAAAAAAACTCTCTCTTTCAAGAGCGAGAGAAGTGGGCGGGTGCTTGCCGTGATTGACAGAAGGTTTGGGCCAACCAGGGGGCAAATTGTCCCCCCCCCCGAAAGTAAAGAATATCTCAAGTCCGGTTTTTTGTTTTTTTGTTTTAAACTCTCTCTTTCAAGAGCGAGAGAAGTGGGCGGGTGCTTGCCGTGATTGACAGAAGGTTTGGGCCAACCAGCCAGCCGGCTGACGACTACCTGTTGGAACGGGCAGGTTCGTCTCGGGCGCTCGCCCCGATTCTCCGAACGCGGAAGCCTCTCTACCCGGAACAGACCGGTCCCCGCAGGGAGGGCCCGAGCCCGGGGCCCGAGTATGGAGCCGGTCTCTCTCTGGACTTCCCAGACGGTGCTGGCTTGGATCCGAGGTAGGGGGAAGCGGTGGCAGGACCTGGCGATCTTTGGGGGGGGGGAATGAGGGCCCCCTTCCCCCCAAAGATGTGCTTGGGTGGAACTCTCTCCGTTCTGTGGCTAACCTGTGGCGGCCCCAGGTGAGAGGACCTCACCTGCCAGGGCCGGGATGGCAGCAGGAGAGGAGGCAGGTACCCCTGCATTCCTGCGAAGGGCAAGGTTGGTCCTGCCCAGCTGGGTTTAGGAAGGGAGGCTTGTTGGTGTCCAAACGCAACTGGTATTTTCAGGTATTGGTGCGATGCAGGCTGGGGAAGAGGAGTTTTAGCCAATAATTTGGGGGTGACAAGCCCCCACCCCACCCCTTGTTCCTTTTCCACTCCTGATTCTAGAGTTGCCAGGTGTCCACTATTTGAGCGGACAGTCCGCTTTTTTTCACATTATGTTCACTATTTTTTTTTCCAGAAAATAGTGGACATTTTTTTTTATTCAAAAGCTTTATGATGAAATGGTACGTAATTCTAAAGCTGTACAGTCTAAGAGAATAAGGATAGGAGAATCGCGTTTTGTCTTTTTTTTTCATAAGTTAGAATGAGGCAAAGATCGAATATTTTTTACTTTTTTTTTTACTACTTAAACCCCCCCCCCCCCCGCTTGTCCGCTATTTTTGGGCAGAATAGGAGAAGAAAGTTAGGGCAGATCCTTCAAAGTTAACTTTCTTGGAAGGCATAACTTTATATCTGCAAGAGAATTTGATTAGATTTAATAGAACATGTGCAACTCTGAATGGGCTGGACGCTTGCTGATGCTTGCTCTCTTCAATATAATTATGAAGACCAAAGTATTATAATCTTCCCTCTGATTCCCACCCCAGCCCATACCTTTATAATATTGAATTAGAACTGAGGGGACTGAGACTAAATCAGCGCTTGGCAACTCTCAACCTACATTTTTTGGGAAGATAAAATAAAAGCCCCCTGAGCATTCAGAGGAAGGATATAAACATAATACCTAGGGGGTATGTTTATACAGTGTGTGTGTGTATATATTACCTTAGCACTTTGCTTAAATGGCTTTTATATGTCATCTGTCGCATCCATTATCCTCTGACACTTTCTGTATACTATTATTTATTGCCAGTAATTCTTTGCTTGCTTTCTTGTTCTGCTATATACCCTCCCCATTGCTCAAGCACAAACTCAGCTAATTTAAAACTGCAAATCTTAACCCAGCAATCTAATTCAGCAAATGCATTTGAATAGAGCAGCCCTATAAACAATGATTAAAAACAATCTCATTGCCCAGGCTAATGATAGAATGAAAACTGCCCCTAGCAAAACTTGTTCTTATTCCATCCATCTGTCTAATGCTGGCTGGGGAATTCTGGGAGTTGAAGTCCACAGGTCTTAAAGGGCCTCATGCAGCTGCGAAGTCTGGATAGGCTCAGGGGATTACGAAT